AAAAAAAAAAAAAAAAAAAAAAAAAAAAGTACTGATTGAGGCTGAATCAGTACATTAATAACAGCAACTACAAAAAGTCGTTTAGGAAAAGAAAAATCATAATGTATCACTTGTCTCAAAGTATGACATTTAACATAGTCCCAACACCACCAACAGTGAATACTGATGTGAAATTAAGCTAGGCTTTAGGCAGGAGGGGTTGGTGGTTGGAGTGTGCATTAGTGCGGTGGAGTAGGGAGAGAGAACTAACTACTACACCACGGTGAGAGGCCAGTAAATAATGCCTAATGCTGAAAAATCAAGAGCTGTCAAAACAAACGTGTTCTTAGAGTTGTAGACATTGCAAGAGGCTGCATGTGGGACCAGAATTGCTGTTTCTCTAAGCAGGTCTTGGAAACTATTGGGCTCCTTAAAGTATGCACCCTATATAACTTTGATCGAAAGTAAAAGTAAAACAAAAGAGGAAATAAAATGGATATTAGATAAGCTAGACAGACGGTGGGGGTGGGTATGCTACTCTGCAGATGCCCATAGGAAACAGTCAATATCAGAGGGAGCAGTTCAAGAAAGAGCCAGAAGGGGACGAAGAGGAGGCAGGATTGGGACGCAGAGCCCAGCAGAAGCCTTAGATTAGAACTGTCCAATAGAATTAGAATGGGAGCCAAAAGTGGCTTGTAGATTATTATAATTTGTCTCACAGAGACACATAGATCATTATAAATTTTCTAGTAGCCACATTTAAAGAGTAAACAGGTAAAACGAGCATTTTTGGTTTTGTTTTGTTTGAGACGGATTCTTGCCCTGTAGCCCAGGCTGGAGTGCAGTGGTGCAATCTCCGCTCGCTGCAACCTCTACCTCCTGGCTCAAGTGATTCTCCTGCCTCTACCTCCCACGTAGCTGGGATCACAGGCACCCACCACGACGCCCAGCTAACTTTTGTATTTTTAGTAGACATGGGCTTCGCCTCAAGTAATCCACCCACCTCAGCCTCCCAAAGTGCTGGGATTACAGGCGTGAGCCACATGCCTGGCCAGAAACAAGTTTAATACTAAATTTGATTTAACTCAGGATAGCCAACATGCTATCATTTCAATAATGCAGTCAGTATCAAAATTATGAAAGAGCAGGAATGCAGGGGGAAAGGTCCCCACACTGCCTTCCTCTTCTTCTGCAACCCCATACGGTGACCCGCTTCCTCACTGCTCGTGCTCAGGCCTCCTGCCTTTCCACCCAGCCTGCACACGTCCTCTGGGCAGCGTGCCTGCGTCCTCAGGGTCAGAAGGAGCACCTTGCCCCCTGCATCTCTGCACTTTGCTGCGGCTCTTGGTGTATGGCATCCACGCTGCAGCTCAGTCCTTCCTTCACTCCACCCTAGACGGTGTACACGTACTCAGCTAGGAGACGCGGAGAGGGGAGCCCCCCAGGCCCTGACCAGGGAAGGCTTGGGTCTGGCAAGGGAGCAGGGACCAGCACCTGCACCATAGGAAGAGGGTGGCCCTGGGGCCTTGTCTGGGAGTCTGCCCCTCCGCCCGGGGCTTTATGGAGCAGGAGGGCTGCGGGTGACGTGTAACTCTGTTTCCTCGGGGAGTCGCACCCCTGACGCTGGCTCCTGCACGTGCCCCGCAGGCCATCTCCAGCCACATGCACCTCAAGTGCAAGTGCCACGGGCTGTCGGGCAGCTGCGAGGTGAAGACGTGCTGGTGGTCGCAGCCCGACTTCCGCGCCATCGGCGACTTCCTCAAGGACAAGTACGACAGCGCCTCGGAAATGGTGGTGGAGAAGCACCGGGAGTCCCGCGGCTGGGTGGAGACCCTGCGGCCGCGCTACACCTACTTCAAGGTGCCCACGGAGCGCGACCTGGTCTACTACGAGGCCTCGCCCAACTTCTGCGAGCCAAACCCCGAGACGGGCTCCTTCGGCACGCGCGACCGCACCTGCAACGTCAGCTCCCACGGCATCGACGGCTGCGACCTGCTGTGCTGCGGCCGCGGCCACAACGCGCGCGCGGAGCGGCGCCGGGAGAAGTGCCGCTGCGTGTTTCACTGGTGCTGCTACGTCAGCTGCCAGGAGTGCACGCGCGTGTACGACGTGCACACCTGCAAGTAGGCGCCGGCCGCGCCTCCCCCGGACCGCGCGGGCCCTGCCTGGGGTGCGCTTTTCCCTGGGTGGAGCCGGACTCCCACCAGACGGGACCGGTCAGCGCTCCTCCCTGGGGCCGGCGCTCCTCCCTGGGGGCGGCCGCTCCTCCCTGGGGCTGACGCTCCTCCCTGGGGGCGGCGCTCCTCCCTGGGACCGGGGCTCCTCCCTGGGGCCGGGGCTCCTCCCTGGGGGCGGCCGCTCCTCCCTGGGGCTGACGCTCCTCCCTGGGGGCGACGCTCCTTCCTGGGGCTAGGGTTCTTCCCTGGGGCAGGGCTCCTCCCTGGGGGCGGAGCTCCTCCCTGGGGCTGACGCTCCTCCCTGGGGCTGGGGTTCCTCCCTGGAGCAGGGCTCCTCCCTGGGGGCGGGGCTCCTCCCTGGAGCAGGGCTCCTCCCTGGGGGCGACACTTCTCCCTGGGGCTGGGTCTCCTCCCTGGGGCCGGGTCTCCTCCCTGGGGCCGGGTCTCCTCCCTGGGGCCGGGGCTCTTCCCTGGGGGCGGGGCTCCTCCCTGGGGGCGGGGCTCCTCCCTGGGGCAGGGCTCCTCCCTGGGGGCGACACTCCTCCCTGAGGGCTGGGGCTCCTCCTGAAGGAGGTGGAGCTCCAGGATGGGACGGGGCTCTGCATAGGCTTCTCCCTGGGGTCGGGTTTTCTCCGGGTTGTGGGGGGAACACGGCTTCTCCCGCGGGGACAGGGCACCTCCCATTGGGGCGTGGCTCTTGGTGGGCGGGGCACTAGGTGGGCTTCTACCTGCAGGTGGGGCTTCTGAAGGAGGCGGGGTCTGGGTGGGCTCCTCCCTGGGGGCGGAGCTCTTCCATGGGAGCAACGATCCACGGTGGGCGGGACTCCTGTCTGGATGGGGCAGAACTTCTGACCAGGGCGCGGCCCGTTCCACGCGGGCTGCGACTCTGGGTGGGCGCGGCCTGCATAGGCTCCTCCCTGTGGGTGGGGCTCCGGGACGAGGCTCCGATGGGGGCGGAGCTTCCCTCCGTGGGCGGGACTCTTCCCTGGGAGCCGCCCTCTTGGTTAAGGCGTGGCTACTGCAGGAATCCGGGCCCACCAGGCCCCTTCTCCCCAGCCCGCTGTCAGGTTCCATCCACCCCTGTGTAGAGCGGGAATGTCCTATGAAGCGAGTCGGGTCCCCAGCCCGTGCCTCTGAGATCCGAGGGCCCCTCTCCAGGAGCCTGGCTTTGGCGCGCGGAGGCCTGTGCCACCCCTTCGACCACCCACCCGACCAGGAGCCCTGCTGGGGATAGCCTGCAGCGTCCCCCCGCCAGCCCCCAACCCCAAGACCAAGCTCAGTCCTGGAAGAGGACAGGGGCTTCGTGGAGGCAAGTGATCGCGGCCCTCTCACAGAGGCCCGCCCTGCCCGGCCTCCCACGCCGCGGGCCCTCCTCCCAGGGAGCCGGCCTGCTGCGCCCCAGGTCCCGCCCGGCTCTGCGTTGCTCAGCGGCCCCCCCTTCTTTGCAGCTGCCCGGCTCCTCCTCCCTGCCCTCGGGTCTCCACACCTGCACTCCATCCAGCTACAGGAGAGATCGAAGCCTCCGGTCCCATCCCTCCCTTTCCTCCGTCTGTCCACAGCCCCTCATAAGGGAAAGATAGAAAGAGGGGTCCAGCCCCCCAGGCTGCCCAGAGCTGTTGGTCTCATTTGGGGGCTGTTCGGGAGGTTTGGGGGTATCAACCCCCCACTGTGCTGCTCGCGAAGGTCCCACAGCCCTGAGATGGGCTGGCCTCCTTCCCAGCCCCTGTGGCAGGACTGGAGCAAGGGTCCGCTTTCCTGGAGCCAATGGCCTGGTCCCTCCTGATGCATCCAGAATGAATGGGAGGCCGCTGAACCCAACCAGCCCATATACCTGGCCTCCGTATGGCCAGCGCCTCTCAGCCTCTGCCACTGTGAACCGGCTCCCACCCTCAAGGTGCCGGGAGGAGACGCGACCAGGCGGGGCGCCCCAAGAGCCCAGAAGAGGGGGCGCCGCCATCCTCTGCCTCAGATTCTGCGTTTTTGGTTGTAATGTATCTGATGCTGCTATATCCACTGTCCACTGGAGTTAGATGAATAGATGTGTTGTGTTTGGGTTTTTTTTCTTTTCTTTCTATGAAAGACATTTAGTCATAGCTTGAGAGTTTCAAAGAATGGGAAAAGTGAAAGAGGAACCAGCCAGCAAGGCTGTGGTCTAGGCTGGATTTTTGGTGGTGGGTCAGCATGGTGTTGAGAAAGTAGAGAAGATGCCCACTCAGGGGTTCAGGGCCTGGGTCTGGGGCCGGGGGAGGCCCCGGGGCCATGATCTCCACAGCTGGAAGTCCTGGAAGGGGGAAGGAGTGAGGATAGCCAAGCTGAGGAAATGAGGGAAGGGCCATTGGCACCAAGGCCTGGAACAGGGTAGAGCCTCTGATGGGGAGAGTAGCAGGCACCTGAGGCCCCAAGTAGGCAGCCCTATAGGAAGGGGCTTGACCGAGCCCCCAGCAAGTCAGTAGTGCAGCGGATCACCCACCATCTCCCCTCCCACAGCGCCCGCACTCACTCAGCTGACACCCCAGCACCAGCTATGGATGTGCCCCCAACTCTCTGGGTTTGAGGACAGTGGCCTGGTAGCCGGTGGCCTCTAAGTGTGGGGTTGGCTGGATCCCAGCAGGACCTTGGAATGGGGCTGGCCATCAGGAGTTCCTCCAGAATCCTCACCTCCTGGGCTGTGCACAGGGGTGGCCCTGCTCGTGGGACCCCATCTCCTTTCCCCAGCTGAGGAAGGCAGAAAGAGCCCCTGGAACAGGCAAGCCATCCTGCCCATGGGAACCTTCACATGGCCTCACTAGGGGTGCTAGGTGCCCCTCTGGAAACAGGCAGCAGGGGCCCAAGGGCTGTCTCAAGGCCATGCCTTTCCCATCCCACCCCCACCCAGGATCTCTGCTCCACTCTCTGCCCTCCCATGCCTGCCTGGTCCCTGTACCCACCTCTGGGCCCTGCCTGGATGCCCAGCCAGACTCTCAAGGCAGTGAATGCCAAGGGAAGAAGCCATGGAGGCAGGGAGGCCAAGAGCAGCTAGCGCACCTGCTTGAGGGCTGCGCCCAGCACAGCCTCCATGCTCAGGCCATTTGCATGCCTCCAGTGGGGAGCCAGGCCTGCAGAGAACAGGAGGGGCTGGCCATCCCCCCGGATGCCCTGTGGTAAGAAGGGGGGATCAAAGTGGCCCCAGGAGTGGGACAGGTGCACCAGCATCCTAGGCCTGGAGGCCATAGGAACACAACCCCCAGGCCCCAAGAGCCAGAGAAGGGCCAGCCTTGGGCAGGGGCAGGACCCCTCCAGGCAAGGTACCTGCCATCCCAGCCCCCAAGGGCACAGGGCCATGGCATGCAGCTCAGGTTGGGCAGAGGGGCCTGAGGGACTGCTGACCTCCCTCCGCGCACCCTGGCCCCAAGGCACCCACACGGCTGGCCAGCAGAACATCCTCTCTAGGCCACACCAGGCCTGGCTGCCCTCTCTGGGTGCCATTTTCAAGCTAGTGCCCTTGCTCCTGGCCTTCCCAGACCTGCGCCCTCACTCCCCAGGTCCCCATGGTCCCGTGCCCCATCCACTTCCCTGAGGCTACTGGTCCAGCCTGGCCACCGCAAGGGCCCTGCTCCTCTCTGCCCACATCCGGTCTGTCCACCCCCCCAATGCCCAGGGCCTCCTCACGGTGCGGGCGCAGCGAGGCCACACGGCACCCCCGGAACAGGAGAGCATACCGCCCTCTGACAAGAGAGCCCTCTGCCAAGAGAGCCCTGCTGACTGCACAGTACTCCTGTCCAGGCCTGGCCACCGTGAAACCCCTGCCCACAGCAGCCACGCACAGCCTCATGAAGCAGAGGACCCCGCCCCAGGACAGTCAAGGAGGCCAGGCCTAGGAGGGGCTGAGGGCTGAAGTGTGGCTGCTGGGGGTGATTGTGGGGAAGGGGTGCTTCTCCAGAGCAACCAGCCAGGGGAGCACAGAGCTGCCAGGGCCTGTGAGGGCCACAGGAGAAGGGACCTGGTCCAGGGCTCTGGAGGCCCAGCACCCCCTCCCCCATATCCCCAAACCCTGCATCAGCCTCCATGCACCCCCGAGGTCTGGTGGGCACCACAATATCACTCCCAGCCACAGCTTCACCGGCTGGGACTGCAAGGCCCATCCCAGATGGGTCGCCCGCTGCTCCAGGCGGCCCTGACCCTCCACAGGCAGGGCACTGGAATTCCCAGGAGAGCCCCGGGGGCCGCTGTGCTGCCCTCTACCTGAGGGAGCTAGTGACTAAGGGCACCAGACCCCTGTGCCCCGTGGCGCTTCACCAGTGGGGGCACCCCAAGCCTGCTCAACTCGCTAGGCCTTCCTAAGCAATAACCATAAGAGGTCAGTCCTTAGGGGAGGGCGGCGCCCCACAGGAGCCCCTGGTCAGCTCCAGCCCACGGACACAGTGCCTCTGAGTTGGGACCCAGGGCAGAGCCACCCTAATTGGCACCTACTGGGCCCCAGTGCGGGGGGCATTGCAGATGAAAGACTCGGGAGGCGACTGGGCAGGCAGAGGACTCGAGAGCGTGGGCACAACTGCCAGGTCACAGGGACCTCAGGACTCAGCGTAGGCCGGGGCGGGAGCCCACACCCAGATCCCAGCCAGGGCCACCTAGGGGCTTGAAGCTGAGGTCGGCAGAGAGGTCCCCAGCACCCAGGCTCTGTCTCCACGGCTGAGGCCCAGAGGGGACAGTGCTGGACACACAGCCTGCTGGAGACTCGGGGGTATCTGGGTGCAGGGCCCAAGGTTTCTTTGCAGGCCTGGTGTGAAGGACCACCGTGAAGATGGTCTCAGCTGTCCTCTTCCCCACTGTGGCCTAGCACAGACAGAGGGCAGACCCCACAAGGGGTCCTGGATGTGCCTCCGAGGAATGGGGACACGCTGGTCTGCAGCCCCTGGGGCCATACAACACAGCCCAGTTTACAGGCGAGGGGGGCTGGGAGGTAAAACCTTCAACTCACCCTGTTTAAGAGCGAGCCCCGCCCATGCCTGGGCCTCAGTTTCCCTTCTATGCAAAAGACTGAGCCAAGGGAGGTCTTCCCTCCCAAGGGCCTGCC